CTCATGGACAGGACTCTTATATAGTCCGAAACTAGTTGGGCACCCTCGAAGTTTACATAAGTTTATATAAATAGTTATTAAATTTGATAATTTCTACCAGAGGGAGACTTTGTACAAAAGTCGATTGCTTGAGTACCTCTGTTCCATTCGTGTTTCTACCGTGAAGCAGTTGTGTTTAAATGGTTGTGTTTCGGTTTGAAGGGTGGGATATGGCGTGAATTTACTGGGTACAGAGGAATAACATCTGAATCCTCAGGAATGGCAACGCATGGGGAGTATTATAGACGAAACAGTATACTCTGCTATGCCCATGGTACTGCTCATGTCTATAGGTGACGGTTACCACTTTTCATCAGGTGGGCCGTCAGCTTCTTTGCCATTCTAAGTTGTATAAAAAAAAACATAGATAAAATAGAAAAGGCGACGAAAGAACTATTTAAAACAAGTTTTTAGGCTATACATATCTGGTAATAAATATAAGATCTAGGCATTACACGTGATTATAGTTTTTGTCAAGACAAATCAAATGAGCTCAAGCACGACAGATTCATTATGCGTAGTTCAAAAGTTCCTAGGGCTATCTTTTGACTTCAAACTAATTTAATGGTACTATAATATTCTATTGTTACCAAACTTATATAAGTATACCAAAATTTTGCTTAATTAGATATCAAAAAGGGGTTAAAAATAGACGAGTAAATTTTGAAGAAGTTCTAAAGCAAGTTAAATAAAATCTTTTCAAAGTCATATTTCAAATATTCAAGAAGTTGGTTACACTCGTGTTACTGATGTTTCTTATTACTTGTTTTAGTACGACGTTATAATGTAAGATTATGCTCTAAACTGCTATTCAGTAGTTCCCGCGGGTCATTAGCTCTCTCAGCAGTCTGTAGAAACAGAAATTGCAAACATTTCACGTCATAATTTAAATCATAATTCTGTTATGCTTTAAAACCGTTGAGTTGCCAACCTGTAGCGTTTTAATTTTTAAACAATGGTAATTTACAGCTTATAGGATTTGGATAGATTTTTAATATTATCACAAACGGTAAAGAAACTGACAGTTTATCTGATATGAAACTTATTGGAGATAAAATTTTTAAAATCAAGTATACAGTATTTATATACTAACAAAGAGAGACCAGTAGCCGAGTGTTACAGTAATATTATAATAGTAGACCCAAAGCAGTAGCAATGTTTATTAATACACAAGTTTGCAAAGTTAACAATAATATAGTCGGCGGCCAGTTTAAGCGTAGAAATTATGAAGAAGATAATAAAGTTAGAAATTCGGCGGGTCCCTTTTGATACTCCCCCGCTCAAAACAACGTACTAGGTACTGCTTAAAAATTCAGTAACGCAACGAAACTTTGTTTAAACCATAGTGGAACGTTGTTTGAATGAATTGCTGGTTTTCAGTGTTTTGTTATAATTAATTTATGTACTTTTAATAAGAAAATTATAAAATTGGAAAGAAACTTTTTATATAGATTAGTAGATGCAAGTTTTTTTTTTTTTGTATTGTAATGTATATATTATATTGCGTAAATTGAATGGAATGCTAAAAATCTAAAATTAACAGTTCTGATCCTAGTTTTGGAAATATTTGATGTTTAGTTTTAGAATTATCAATAATTTAAGAAATAAATACAAAGAGTGATGAGGTAGTCAATAGATTTCCAATAAATCAATACATCCTTGGATCAATTTGGGAACATTTTAAATGAAAATACTTTTAGGAGAATTTAAATAAGAATACATGTAAAAGATACATTTCCCAATTTTAAACTAAATTAGACACCTCTTTTTATAGTCCATAGGATATACTCCCATGAGGATTCCATTTATATTTTGTTACGATTGAATAGGTAGTTTCCTTATGGAGCAAAATCGTGAATTAAGTCGATCAAAAGTTTGTAATATCAATGAACTCGTAACAGCCTTATTGTTATCTCAAACAAAATTATAATTCTAAATTTACCGTAACTGTCCATTACCGAGTATAGACCTCTCCTTATTGGAGGATTTTGCCAGTAGTCGCCACGCTTGGCAGGCAGATTGGCAACTGCAGTTAGGCTTTTTTGATGTTTTAAGTGCGACGCAAATATCCACTTCTCAACCGTTAAATTCTCTTAGTCGCCTGTGACAACACCCAAGGGAAAGGTGTGGGCTTTTCTATATCGGAGCACACGATGTAATTCTAAATACATAATATAAACGTCTCTTGTGCTAACATTCTCAGATCGACTTTCAGAAGTTTTTCTTGGAAGCTATCGTGGTTAATTCTCGGTAAATGTGTCGTTATAGGTCAACTGTCCTGACTCCATACTCACCTGTTGTCACTATTGCTCTGCCAGCTGGCGGGGTATTTAGTGATGAGGTAACAGTATATGCTTATACCGATAACATAGGTGGATCTACTATTTCATTATCACCCGAAAATATAATCTTTCTAACTTGAAATATCACAGGACAAGTATATAAAACAGTAGTCGTACTGTAATGTCTAAACAGAACTCTCATTAATTGTCTCCAAACAGTCAAACCGTTGACGAGTCAGACAAACCGAATTATTTACAGAACTCTTGTTTGTTATTTTTGTACAAATATTAATAAGAACAACGACTGTACAAGTTGTAAGACAATAAACGTTGTGATTAATGACATACAATAATAAATACACTTGGAGAAACAAAATTGTTGCGAACTTCCAATGTTCTCTGCGTAACAAATTGAACATTACCGTCGCAATGAAGGACGACTTTATTAACAATCGTGTTTCTTTTTATGTTGTCTAAAATTTTGTTGCGTCTTAATACAGTGTATGAATGATTCGATTTTGAAGTAAGTTTGAATTCCTTTTCTTTTGAATTCCCTTCAAATTTTAATCGGACTATTCGAAAAATAAAAAGTAACGAATCTCTTCAGCCATTCTCCAGATTTACTTAAGAAAACTATACATTTTTTCATTTATGTAGTTATTTATTTTATTTACTTATTCTTTATTGACAACATTACAACCAATGTTTGGTACAAAAGGCGGACTCAACGCTATATAGTATTCTCTCCCAGTCAACATTTGGCAAAACAAAAATTTATAGTAATAATGCGGTGAAAAATTGAAAATTGTTGTAGATAAATACACAGGCGTATCCATATTGTTTTTCAAATTATAACATATACAATGGAGAATTACTGTACATTATAATCATATAAATATACATACATACACGATTATGTATTATAATACAACAACGGTAGAGATCAAAGGTGATGAACATGAGGATGATGAACTGCTTCACAGTTAGGCATATCTTGATGTTTTGCTAAGTTTTACAAATTACTAAGAGAACGGTATTCTCCTTGAATAATGTGGTAATGAAAGAATTGATTTAGATTTAGAAACGGAACAATTGCATGAAAAAACTATAATTAATATTTTTCCAAAACATTTATTTCACTGTAATATTTCTCTGCAAAATGAATTTCATACTGAAGGACATAAAGAAGGATCTCTGTTACAATTTGATTTATAAAGTTTGTGTTTTTTTTCTCGTCTGCGAATATTAATTTGTGAATGTTGATTTGAAATTTAGAAAGTTTAGACTCATGAATACGTATTAGGTTTCGAGTTGATATTATATACTCTTTTTACCAACTCTGTGTAAAATTTACATAGTAAATTGTTTTATCAGGCATTATCCCTGTGAACTCTGGTATTCTAAGTAGGGTTGAAATATTAAAAAATACATTTTCACCATTCGCACGTCATTTACATAAAAAATTGACGTGTTAAAAGACATAAAACACCATTAGCCTCACATCTTAAACACAATGATGCTATATTCATAAATTATGGAAAACATTGCTTTATGAAATATTGAATATAAAGGAAGAATTGTATACGCGGGATCATATTGCATACTTTAATATTTCATCTCACAATGCTCTGTATGTCTGTGTAATACAGCTGTTCGTTTCTTTATCATCCTAAAATTTTTATGTTAAAACCTCATAATTCTTATTACCATTCCCATGATAGCAAATCAGATTCCCAAATCTAATTAATTCGGAAAACAGTTGTCTGCAATATTGGTTTGGAACCACCAATGACTCACTTATTATTTGGGGTCAGCGTAGTATATTTTCCCTTTTCCTGTTGTATTAGATTCGAATATGGTCGGTGTAATGTGAGCAAATTGAAATATTGTATGAAAATAGCTTGTATAAAAATAGACCAGTGTTGAGAGCCAGTGTTTTGAAAACAGACGACGTGATTCTGATAAGTCTATCTGAGGTTACTAAATGACTTAACCAGGAATGTGATATGGGCTTGTTATTCTGAACTAATCCTTCCTTATTATTGATCAGTTTATATTATAAATATGAAAATATATTTGTTTCTATGTTACCTCTTGCCATCCTAATAGCTCAAATGATCATTGTGTAATTTTTATCATTATTTGTCATAAAAAGCTCATAGTATGGAGACATGGTAAAAACATTTACCAAAGAGGGATTTTGTACAAAAGTTGTCTGATTGGGTACTTCTGTTCTATTTGTGTTTATACCGTGAATCAGTTGTGTTTGCATGGTTGTGTTTCGATTTTAAAGGTGGGATAGGCAATGACATTACAGGGTGCAAGGACAAAACATCTTAGGTTTCAAGAATGGTAACGTACGAATTCTATCATGGACGACACACTATACTCTGTTATGTCCATGCTACTATTCATGTCTATTGGCGACGATTACCACTTTCCATCAGGTAGTTTGGTAGCTTGTTTGCCATTCTAAGTTGCACGAAAAATGCAATAGTACTAGTCTATTAATTTTAGAATTTAAAACTGATATGCTATTTATTTCCACCAAGATATAGTCATTGCTTGAAAGGCGTTAACAAGGCTTAACATGATTTCTTTAGACTATTTTTAGTTTAGTATTTACAGTAAGCATCTGCATATTATTTTGCTAAATGTTAAATAAATTTCTTTTAACAGCTCCACCAAATCGCCCAATCATAATGGACGCAAAGACAAGAGACCAGACCCGACTTCTAGAACCGTACAACGAAGGCGACACGTTGGAACTAATCTGCGAAGTGTTTGGAGGTAAATGTACTATCTGCTTTTATTTTTAGACTTGTTTTTAAACTAGATAGTTTATTTACAATTTCTTCACAGACGAAATTTATTAGAAGAAATATTTATAGTAAAGCTGGAAATAGTCGCAACCAAACATGACCATCTCTATGGTGTGGTGATAAACATGTTGTTTTGCTTCAATAAGGTACCGGTTTAGAGGCTCGGTCAGACCAGCACAGCGAACTTCACTCCTAACTTGAAGATCAGGCAAATGGTGTGTTTCTGTGGTATTTATTACCTGATCACTTTTATTCAGAGCTCTTCATAGATGTACTTGAATTGGAATAGCAAGATTATGTTTAGAAATTATTGTATTCCATCTCTTTCTTTCATAAGAGTTGATGTGGAGCAAATGACACCTCTAGTGGTAATTGTTTATTGAATGTGGTGAGCGCTTTCATTACAAATCATGAATATACCACGTTGTATAAAAAATATTAGTAATATTTTATTTTTTATTTAGATTAGAAATATTTTAATGTAATAATTACCAGTTTTATTTACGTTTAATTTGATCGAGCTACCTCGACTGGTTTCGGGACCATTCGGGACCTTTAGTCTTAAACCGCAGCGAAGCGAGCGCGAGCCTGTAAAGAACTAGTAGAGCTTAAATTACACGTAAGTTAAGCTGGTAAATTAAAATATAATATGTCACTTTTAATAACAGAATTATTTTGTTTAATTCCGCTAACATTAGTTTATATGTGACTATCAATACTCGAAGATTGACTACTATTGTTATTACTAAAACTTCTTCAACTTTACACACTATCCATCAATCTTCGACTACCATTTCGTCACGCACGTTTTGCGGCACGCTTAAATGAAGCATTTTCAAACAGATTAATAGATCTCGGAGCCTAGTGTTACCCGTTCAGCACCCAAACTGCGAAAGTTTCACTGTTGTAGCGGAATTAAACAAAATAATTCTTATCAAATAACCTGTGATGTAGACTTCTGCAAGATAACACCTAGTTCAGTAAAATAATAGTTTACGTTGATGAAATCTTTAAAAAAGAATATTCTGGAAAACTCTTAGAAGCAGCGGTTATAATCGAAGTGAAAATAATGTCCGTGATGTCTGTAAACGTATTCTATTTTATGTACGTATAAATTTTTACGATCGGTTTTCATAAGCCCGGTCGTTAGGTTTTAATATTTTCTGCGATCAGAATTTTTATAAGTTACCTATTATATGAAAGTTCCGCTTTATGTACTAATTGTATGAATTTATTTCTAATTTTGTTTTACTGGTTCCTTGTTGTTGCTGAAAGTTGAAAGAAAGAAATAAAGAAAGAAGGAAGGAAAAAAGTAAGAAGGTCCGACGAAAAGAAAGAAAGAAAATATTTATTTGGCGCATATCAATAACAGTTATAATTAAAACAATTGTAAACTTAAAGGAAAAGGAAATACAAAAATAAATTTATAACTAATTAAATATTATGCAACCGTAATGTTTTTTGATGGGTGAAAATGGTATGGTAACCCCGCCTGCGCTAACGGGATACGCTGGCGGGGCACCAGTGAAGGGTGATAGCTGAGAATGAAAACAGGTCAGTTAGCCAATCATGATGAACTCATCGGGAATTAACCATGATAGTTTCCAGGGAGAACCGCGAGGAGGTCGATCTGGTTGGGTATATTGCTAGCAATGGGATTCTCAGTCTCCATTACTAACAATCCCTTTCCCCCCAACCGTAATGGTTATCACTCAGCTAAATGTTTAGGCATTCATACGTAACGCCTGAACGCTGATTTTGTGAAATCAGTAAGAGTGGGAGATTTTTTTTTTTTATTTTGTACTGAGTGGCTATACTGATTGTTAAATCCAATTGGGTACCGATATTTTGACGTAATTGCGTAACTTGAAATAAATTATGCTTACTATAATATCCAGATTGTGGCGATGTAGTGAGACGGGTCGTTGGGCTCCCTATAATATGGTTGTACACAACCACGAACGTGAACGGATGCTTCTAGTAGGGACTGGTCTGTCCAAGAATACTGTGATTGAATATAGTTTTTTATTTTCTTTCTTTTTATCAATATTAAGTTTATGATAGTCATTTTATCCATTCACATTTTTGTTGTAAACGTAACTTTTATTTGAAAGAAGCAACAGCTGATTTTCTAGCTCATTTCTTTTTAGCTGAATTTGCATTCCGTACTGGACGGTAAATTCTTCAAAAATGCCTATTAAAAAATGCTAAGTTTACTTGAATAAAAAACATATTTATCATTCTTTATGGTAAAAAATTGGGATCATTAGACAATGATTCGAAAATTAGTTTTCATTTGTATAGCTTTACTAACTTTCAGCGTTTTATTATGTCAAAAATTGTTGGAATATGTGGCTTCTTTCATTAACTATTCGTGTTAGGCTATGAAAACAGACTATAATAAATTTTCAAGAAGCTTTATGAATGAATGAATGAATGAAGTATACTTTATTTGCATTATACAATATAGGAAATAAGCGAGACAATTTACAAATACAACGATACAATTGTATAAGTATAGTGAGGCGGTCTTATAGCTGAGAGCAATCTTTTGAAGACAACCTTAAGGTAATGGACTAATTGTTATACAAGTAGGTATGATAGTACTGTATAATTAAAAAAGCTCTTTATTTTGTTAACTTTTATAAATATTTTACTAAACTAGGTTTTATTTTGTAGAAGTTCATATCAACGGTTATTTGATTAGAAAAATTTAAATTGTCATTTTATATTTAATGGAAGTCGAAGATTGATGACTAATATGGAAGATTGTGGAACTTCTGGTAGTAGTAGTGGCGGTCAAACTTCGAGTGTTGGCAGTCACACACATACTAATGTTAGTGGAATTAAACAAAATAATTTCAATGTATTTGATTACCAACATTTATAAAATTTTATACGATCGAACAATTTATGTCGAATTGTACGCGTCGTTGATCCACAAACAGATATGATATTATTTCTTTATTCACATATTGTAATATGGTAGCATAGAATAACACATGTATTTATTTTAAAACATATGTTTACGCCGATGTAAAGATAATATGTTTACGAATACGTATCTCGGGCATTGAATATAATAATTATTTTACAAGCCTGAAGGGTTAGAAATGTTGTTAAAAACTAATATATTAATTACATTTATTTATTTAGGTCTATATTTTGTACTAATTTTAGAACCATATTCATTGGTAGACTGAGTGCAAATTGACATGTGAATGGAATATTAAACGAGAATGAAACTAATGCACTATACTATAATAGAATATACGATTTATCAGTTAGTATGAAAGTTCTAATTAGACTGACCTATCATGAATGATAGGATAATTGTGTAGTCTCTGACGCGTATAAGATATCTGATGTGTCTATAGAATCACATGAATTAATGAGATGAAATATGAATTTGGATGAAGCACGTATATGTAATTATGTTCTTGATACTTTTTTTCATTGAGTTCTCCAAAAATGGTAGGTATATTCAGGTTTTCTAAGGGTTGGCTACTCGCAGGTGACACCCCTAGTGTTGTAGGTGTTCATAGGTTACAGTGACCATTTACCATCATCTTCATGGTAGAAAAAATTGATGAAAATTAAATGGTAATCCCGCCTGCGCTATCAGTGTATGCTGGCGGGGCACCAGTGAGGTATAATAGGTGGAGATGAAACAGTTCAGTTAGCCCGCCGTGATGAATATAAAATTAACCACAATGGTTTCCAGGGGAAATGCATGGACGTCTACCTGATAGTTTATATTGCTAGTAATGGTTTAGTTTCCCCCTATTCTTGATACTTGGTTCTCTCTCTGCTCTATAAAGGTTATGTTAAGCTGACGGCCCACCTGATAACAAGTGGTGAACGTCACCTATAGATATCATCATTTCAGCCATTATCCGTCCACTGCTGGACATAAGCCTCCCCCATAGATTGCCAGTAGGAACGGCCCTGAACCACCTGCATTTACTAACTACATCTAGTGGAGGGTCGTCCTACACTTTATCACTTTTGTACGGGGTTGCCACACAAGAAACTTTCTTCCCCATCGCCTATAGATATGAACAGTACATATAATAGAATACGTACTTTACATAACATGATCTCATTCATGCGTTGCCATTTCTGAAGAAAAGGTATTATGCCTCTGTACCCTGTTATTTTATTATCATATCCCACCCTTCAAACCGAAACATAGCCATGCAAATAACTGCTTCATGGCAGTAACACAAAAGGAACAGAGGTATCCAAGTAAACGACTTTTGTATAATGTTTCTCTCTGACTTACAAAACTTCTGACTTTAAAATGACCCATAATGATTGTTCATGACTTGTAAACTTTTTTTTTATACGACTTAGAATGGCAAACAAGCTGACGGCCCACCTGACGGAAAGTGGTAACCGTCGCCTATAGACATGAGCAGTACCATGGACATAACAGAGTATACTGTTTCGCCCATGACGCCCCCCATGCGTTGCCATTCCTGAAGACTCAGGTGTTATTCCTCTGTACCCTGTAAATTCACGCCATATCCCACCCTTCAATCCGAAACACAGCCATGCAAACACAACTGCTTCACGGTTGAAACACGAATGGGACAGAGGTACCCAAGCAAACGACTTTTGTACAAAGTCTCCCTCTGGTAAACTGATTTTAATAACTAATTTTATTTTGCTTCACCAAGGGGACCCCAAGCCGAAAGTGACATGGTACCTCGAGAACACAGTCATCGATGATTCATACGAGCAGCGGCCTGACGGAGTGACTGTCAACATGTTGACCTTCCCCAGTATTGGACGGCAGCATTTGAACGCCAGGCTCGTCTGTCAAGCATCCAATACGAATTTAGCTCCGCCAGAGACCAAGTTACTAATATTAGACATAAATTGTGAGTATATTCTTTGTTTTATATTATTTATTTTCAATATTGTAAATTAAGAGGATTTATAATTTTAGATATCTGTGGTCCCGCCATAGAAAAGGCTACCCCTTCTTTTCTAGTGGGAGTCGTAAGACTAAGGAGGGCAAGGGATAAGCAGCAAAGCTCTTCCTAAAACATCTCCAAAGCCTAATTGCGGTTGCCATTTCGCCTGCTAAATTACTGGCATAACCCCCTAAGGGGAGGCTTATGTTCAGCAGTGGACAGTTAAAGGCAAATATGATGATTATGATTGTTGGATATAGTTTGGATATGTTTTGTATAATTACAATATGGAGCTGTAAACAAGGTTCAGACCCTAGACAAAGGGCAAGCAAACTCAACGATAGAATTGACATCGCTGGTGAGTCCGTGCGCGGGGGGGGGGAGGGTTGATACCTAACCAGGTGGACCTTCACGTGGTCCCTACTAGAATCTATCGTGCTGAATTCTAAGTGTATATATCACGGTGGGCTAACTGACCTATCTTTTTACCCTTTCTTATTATTTCTCATTGGCGTCTCGTCGGTGTATATCGTTAACACGGACGGGGTTTGCCACTTCATTGCCATCCATTAAAAAATCGAGTCCATGAGTTAGAATGAGGTAGCAACGTCGGATGTCTCATTCCAACACGTGAACTCGCTTTCGATAACGATTCTATTGATAGATTCGCTTGCCATTTGTCTAGTGGGGGGCCAGTTGTCTAGGTGGGGGGTGGGGGGTTCGCCTGTGGTATACTGTGATTTCAAAAAGAAGAACGCTTTCAATCCGATTGTATTTTTTTGTATTTATTACCTCAACTCCGTCAGTTCTAAACCAATTTGGATTTTTTTGTCTGAAAGTGACACATACAAAGTGATGCCATAGAAATCTTATCAAAATCATTACTGTAGTTTAGTTTTTAGATAAAAGTGACTGATTTTGTCAAAATATAAGACTACAGTACGGGTTCTTTAAACAACTTTAACCCGACCCGAAGAAACTTTAATACACCCCGTATTAAAGTTTCTTCGGGGCCGGCAACGCGCACGCGACACCCCTGGTGTTGCCGGCGTCCATAGGCTACAGTGACCGTTTACCATCAGACGGGCTGTATATTTGTTTGCCACTTTTGTGGTATTAAATACGAATTGAAGTAGGTTTTTTTGTGGTACAAAATCTGTAATTTACCCTGTGTTTCCTCTGTTCCTTTCAACGTACCACACTTCAAATTGAAGTATAACCTTGCGTGGTTGCACAATCGCTTGGTACCAGAAACACGTGTAGCGTAGAGGCAACATAATAAAACTTTAGAGGAAAATTGTGTACATTGAAAATAATTATAAACATGTTAGAAATTTTATTAATAACGTATTATATATATATATATATATATATATTGTTTCCTCCAAAAGATTACAACAGTAAACTTATTATAAATATAAATAATTAGTATTATTATTTATATTCTAATTATAAATCTGAAAGTGAGTTTGTTAGTTTATTTTTTTTTAATGGGTTTTAATGATATGGTAACCCCGCCTACACTATCGGGATACCCTGGCGGGGTACCAGTGAAGGATGACAGGTAAGGATTGAAAAGGCAGGTCAGTTAGCCCATTGTGACGAATTCCACTAGAATTAACCACGACGGTTTCCACGGGGAACCGCGCGGAGGTCGACCTGATAGGGTGTATTGCTAGCAATGGGTCAATTAGACCCCATTACTAACAATCCCTTTCCCCCTGTTTGTTTATTAACTTATAGCGCATTAACAATTTAACTAGTTACTATGAAATTTGGTACACACATACTATATGGTATATAAAAGGACAATGGCGGACAAAGACGCGGGTAGAAGCTAGTGATAGTAAATTAAAATTGCGTTTCAAACTAGTAAACATTTGGCTTTACTAATCCAGTTTGTTACAGTAAGGCCACTCACGGTGCAGATTCTCAACAAGAGTCAGCAGTTGTCAGCCGACAGGAGCTACGAGGTCGAGTGCAAAAGCACAGGCTCCAGACCCGAGGCTGAGGTGACGTGGTGGAAAGGCAGCAGGCAACTGAAGCGGAGTGCCAAAAATGTTAGTTAGTTTACATTATTTTCTCAAACATGCTTGGAAATGTGAGCATTATTTTGACAATCTTCTTAGTGATAAATCAAACTTGCCGTACTACTCAAAGACACGTGGGCAACTGCAGCCGGCAAAAGTTGTATGAAAATCCTTATCTGTCGTGTTTTGCGGCCAGATAAATTACTATGTAAACTCATATTTGTCCTGTAATTTAAAAATGGAATGACCTTTTACTTCGAAACATGGCTACCAAGGAGGTAACTAATAAAAAGTTTTATTTAAATGTCGAACTGGCTTGCAAATAGAAAGCTGTTTATTGAAAAAAAAAAAACAAAAGAACATTATGGCGCGTGAAATATTATTATTGTTTGTTATTCATCATTGAACTTAAAAAGTAAAATTGTTTTATTTTATTTCCGCGCATTATTTGAAAAAAGTACTATACAAGCCTTGACCACAACTAGACATTGATGAACTCACGTATGTGTGCCTCGGCTACGCTTCGGCTCACATTTGCACGTTCGTCCATCAATGCCTCAGTTGCTGGCCGCTGCAGTAATGTACTATAATCAACATATTGCGGTCATTAAAACATTACAATGTTATGATACAGGCAAATTTCTTTAAGATTTTTTATTATTGGGTCAAACTTAAATAAGATTTGTATATATATAGCCATAAAAATAATGTGCCGTGTGGTTCTGGTATAGAATCGACTACCTCTTTCTTACATGTGGATGTCGTAAGAGGCGAATAAGGAAGCTTAATGTTCGAGGAATAAGCAGCCGCGTCCCCCTTAAAATATCACTAAAGCCTAATTGTAGTTTCTTATCCGCCTGCCAAATATGGCAACTACTGGCAAAACTCCCATAATAGAAAAGGCCTATGTTCAGCAGTGGACTGCTGACAAAATAATAATATCTGATTAATATTCTCTCTCTTTTCATTTAAGAGTTTCCTCTTGTCGGTGCAACTAATCCATGCATCTTCCTCCAGCCAGCTCTATCCCAGGCCATATCCTTGATCTCCCTATACAACATGACGCCTAGTGTTTCCTTTATCTGTCCCATGTAGTTAATTCTCGGTCTTCCTCTTCCTCTTTATCTGATTAATATTATGATTCCAAAAACCTGAAAAGATTTTTTTTTTGTAGCACGATGGTGGCAAATATAGTATACAGCCCGTCTGATGGTAAATGGCCACTGTAACCTATGGAGGCCTGTAATATTAGGGGTGTCACGTGCGCGTTGCCGATCCTGAAGAATCCTTATTTATGCTTTTATATTTTATACATATTAAAGTACTGCTGTATTTAAAGTCTATTTTTTTTTTAATTCTTAGGAGCGTTTACCTTCTTTAGATATATCAGGAGAAGGGATCGTTAATAATAAGGAGGTTAGTCCCCCATTGCTATCAATATACCCTATCAGGTCGACCATCACGCGGTTCCCCCTGGAAACCATCGTGGTCAATTCTAGTGGAATTCGTCACGATGGGCTAACTGACCTGTTTTTTCATCCTCACCTATCATCTCTCACTGGTACTCCGCCAGTGTATACCGATAGCGTAGGCGGGGTTACCGTGTCATTTCACCTATTAAAATTAAATAGGCTATAGTGACCGTTTACCTTCAGACGGGCTGTACGTTTATTTGTCATCTTTGCTGTATAATATAGTAGCGGTCCGTATATATATATATATATATATATATATATATATATATATATATATATATATATTTGACTATCATAATAATATTTAATTGTCGACAACAACAGTAGCTAAGAAAAATTTCACAACATCTTAATCTTTCCATTATTTTCCATTATTTTCCGTATTCATTTCGTACACATTTTTCGTTGATCCACTTTATATGATAAGCAAGTTATTTTTCCTATAAAATACCGATCCAGTGATGATGTTTATTACGTTCGCTTCTTTGATATAAAACCGGAAATATTGTTTTACTCGTATTTTGACAACAATTTTAATTGTAGCCATCCCGTATACTTATTTATTTCTTCAGCAATCTAAAAATTTTACAATTTGGAAGCAGTATTTATATGTTTTTTATGTATTTATATAGGTATTTAACATAAAACATAAGATTTTTAAAACAGATACTCTAAAACATATGAATATAAAACCACTCAAATACACGCATACGCACACAATCACACACGCGCACACACACGTACATACATTCTCGAACACACACACACCAAACGAACTCATATGTACTCACAAGTTTAGTTAACATACATTCTATAACATACACTCGTGTCACACATTTTTTACTTATATTTTAATGCATTCTTATTAACCCTAGCATATAATTTATTTCTGTATTAAAGTTACATATCGAAAGTTATTTATTTTGTATATGCACTGTATCTGAATTTGTATGTTTTTGCATGCATTTGTATTTGCATGGCTGTGTTTCGGTTTGAAGGGTGGGATATGGCGTGAATTTACAGGGTACAGAAGAATAACACCTGAGCCTCAGGAATGGCAACGCATAGGGAGTATCATGGGCGAAACAGTATACTCTGTTATGTCCATGGTACTGCTCATGTTTATAGGCGACGGTTACCACTTTCCATAAGGTGGGCCGTCAGCTTGTTTGCCATTCTAAGTTGTATAAAAAAAAAAGTTTTTTATGCATAAAAAAATATTAATTCACTCTTGCGCCACCTACCCACTTCTATCTATTCTCCTTTAACCGAAGGTTGTCTGTAAGAGATTGCCCTAGCGATAAGACCGCCTTTTGTACCTTTATGTATACATTTCAATCTGTATTTATGTTACTATATTTCACTTGAATTGTTCACTTGTCATTGTATATCATACATTTTTGTTTATGATGCAATGAAGAGTTAAATAAACAAATAAGTAAATGTCCTAGTCACATGGACAAAGATAGGAGTAAAAACTAGTATTAACATTATAATATTTTATATAGAATTGTATAGATTAATGTCGATCTGTACATAGTATGTTTGATAAAGTAAAAAAATTTCAGAGTATCACAAACTCAATTAGAATCAGACTGCTTTCAGTGTCTACGCACTTACTTTTGTATCAAAGGAAATACTGTATATCTGAAATGTTCGAATTCGTTGAGCGTGATTGAGCAATCAATATATTCAGATCTAATATTTCAGTGGATGGCCTCTATACCTTTTTATTTCAGTTACTATTCGTATGTTAGTTGATTGCTGAGCTTGTTGCTAACTCGTTACTGTAAATGTTAGGGGTTACATACCTTCACCTCTATGGTAAACTTACGAAACTGAAAGAGATACATTTTACAGGGGAACGTTTTAAAACATTACAATGCAAATAACTTTTGACAGAAGACTACTGTAAAAGATCGTGCTAACATTTTAGTTTTAAAATCCTGGTTTTTATTGAATGCTAAATTAATTATTATTATATTACAAGTATCAGAAATAAATACACATTCGTTACTTTGCACCTTCATACATGAGAGTTCCCAGGTATTGAGTTATACAACAGCAAATCTACGAAAGTGGCAGTTTCGTAAGTTGCCAAAGAAAATCATTCATTTTAATATCTAGCAAACTAACGAAAGTGCCACTTTCGTAAATATACGAAGGTATAAGGAAGGCAATCATTCATGTAAAATAACTAAATTAGGATTGAAAAATTGATAAAATAATTATTGAAATTTTCAAATTAAAGTGTTTATTATAGAAAATACTATAAAAATATGCTAAGTACTTTGGGTATATCACAAAAATATGGAGATTCGAGCTACTCGATTTCTTTAACCGAAAGAATAATGAATTAGAGATATAAATTTGAAAATAAGACACAATAAGTAGTATGACGCAAAATGTACATTTTTCAAGAAATGTCAAATTTGAAAAAACTGCAAATTCGTAAATTTGCCATAGAGGTGACGATATCTTATATAAGTAATTACAGTAGGTATGTACTATGTTGCGGGTTGTATTGAGGCGACGTGGTTTGTGGAAATGTATATTTCCAATGGCTCGGTTATAACTGACAAAATTATGATCTTATAAAATAATAAAATATAATACTAATAAAATAATACAAATCTGGTGGGGCAATACATTGACCTAGTACGTGCAGTGCTTAATTAACAATTAAAAATTTCTTAATAAACCAACAAATTTGTTGCATTTCACGTATGGACATAAATTAGGCTCCATAATCTTATATAATATTATATATATATATATATATATATATATATATATATATATATATATATATATATATATAACAATATCTATTTTGTATTACTATGGCACACTCACAAACGAAAATTGTATTTAGCTTTATGTATTTTTTTTTATCATTTATGTTATTTCGCTTTTTTTTATATCTATGTTGTAATTTGTGTGCTGTAAGTAATGAAAATAAATTATCTATCTATATATATATATATATATTAGATATTGACTACTCGGTCTATAGATATCTCATCAACAGAATTTTATAAATATGAATGATAGATATCGGAGATGTAGTGACGTAGTTTCTATTACTGGGAATCCCTTTCCCTTGTGCTGTGGTGATGTTTGAAGCTGCTGCTGCCCATATCTTGACCGTTAAGCACCTCTTACGAGACCCACGAGAAAGAAAGCGTGGCCCATTCTATATCGGGATCACATGGTAATATTCAAATATATAGATATTGAACTACATAAAATACCGCATTTATATTCGATAATATATATATATATATTTCTATATATATATATATATATCCGATATTATCCTGATGGCATTAAGAGACTACCGACTAAACTGTCTTTAAAAAAAAATGTTCACGCTCACTTTTTTACTTTATCCGAGCTTTAATATTATTCTCAATTTCGTGTATAATATAGTATATGTCATATATGTGTAAGTATATTTGTTATTTATATATATTTATTCGTTTATATATGTAATTTTAGTATGTATGTATATCAATAATTAGTAGTACCACATTCGAGTATTCTGTCACTTCC